AAGCAAGTACAGCAACAATAGAAAGCAAGTATGGCAACCATAGGAAGCAAGTATGGCAACCATAGGAAGCAAGTACAGCAACCATAGGAAGCAAGTACAGCAACAATAGGAAGCAAGTATGGCAACCATAGGAAGCAAGTATGGCAACCATAGGAAGAAGCAAGTACAGCAACCATAGAAAGCAAGTATGGCAACCATAGGAAGCAAGTATGGCAACCATAGGAAGCAAGTACAGCAACCATAGAAAGCAAGTATGGCAACCATAGGAAGCAAGTATGGCAACCATAGGAAGCAAGTACAGCAACCATAGGAAGCAAGTATGGCAACCATAGGAAGCAAGTATGGCAACCATAGGAAGCCCTTCTTCCTATGGTTGCCATACTTGCTTCCTATGGTTGCCATACTTGCTTCCTATGGTTGCTGTACTTCAAGTACAGCAACCATAGGAAGCAAGTATGGCAACCATAGGAAGCAAGTATGGCAACTATAGGAAGCAAGTACAGCAACCATAGGAAGCAAGTATGGCAACCATAGGAAGCAAGTATGGCAACCATAGGAAGCAAGTATGGCAAACATAGAAAGCAAGTATGGCAACCATAGGAAGCAAGTATGGCAACCATAGGAAGCAAGTATGGCAAACATTGGAAGTAAGTATGGCAACTATAGGAAGCAAGTACAGCAACCATAGGAAGCAAGTATGGCAAACGTAGCGAGCAAGGAAATCAAGTAGGTCAACCATAGCATACAAGGAGGGCAAACACGGCAAGCAACGAGTGCAACTATGGCAAACAAGGAGGGCAAACACGGAAAAGGGCGACTGCGAGACTTTCCGCCAGTGCCACGTTGACATTCGAGTGCGCGGAGTACCGTACCTCTCTCTTCACTGGCTCACCCTCGCAGTGGATGACCGTGTCGGGCGCGACGATGCAGTACGGCGACGGGTCCGTCTCTATGACCTTAAACTCGACCGCTCGCATGCCGCCGCGCACGAGGAATATGTCGTTCTTACTGACCGGTCGGTAGGCCTCAAGAAAATATGGCTTCAGATAGACGTCGAATAGGTTCCTACAGAAAAAAAACAATGGGGGTAGATTCATCGATGTTCAGTCATCACAGTATCACTGGCAGTAGGCGACTAGGCGGTTGAAGAAAACCCTTCTCTATCGCCTTTGATCATTTCCACTGTCTTCCTGTACCCAAGGCCATCCTTAAAAAATTATGTTTGCTGTCCTCCGACTGACCCACGAAAATAGCCGCGACCCAGGTTTTTTTTGACATTTTGGGTTCCATTTTTTTTTTTTTTTTTTACATTCTTCATAGTTAAGACTGAAACACAAAGCATGTGTGGCAAACATGAGGACAGACTTAAAATAACTATTATGCCTCACACACAAAAAAGACCTACCTACTTACCCACTCAAAAAATCATGGGTCGGGGGACAGCAAACATAGAATTCTTTAAGGATGGCCCAATGTGTAATCACATCTCCAGTAATGAACATAACACTAACCGAGTTCTGACATGGACAGGGTGACACGCTGCGTGGGAGTTATTAACCGCTTCGTGCTTCTGCTCCTGTCTCACAAAGAACATCTATTACGTGCGCTTTAGTGTTGTCAATCGGTTGTAATTTCGTAATCGATCATCGGTTGGACCCAAGTAACCGATGATCGGTTACAATCGGTTACTCGTGGTGTTGAATGCCTGCGTGTGCATAACGTCGTGTGCATGTACGTGTGTGCATGTATGTGCTTGTTAAGCCCTGTTTACTGTTTGTTTTGCACTGTTTACTACTGTGTGTATAATACATGTATGTTAATAAAGGATAATTTGTATAGTAGCGATGATATCTCTGATTCTCATCACTTTTCCAAGTTGTCTTGTTCAAGTTAAAAAAAAAAAAAATTTTATTTTTATTTTTATGAAATTGATTATGGATTTTGATAACCAAGCGCTTGGTTCGAGCCACTGTTCAACCGATGATCGAGTATAATCGATGATCGTGACATCACTAAGCGCTTGGTTCGAGCCACTGTTCAACCGATGATCGAGTATAATCGATGATCGTGACATCACTAGTGCGCTTACCCAGTAAGGCCGTCCACTGTGTCGTCTATCGGCAGCACGTGGATTCGCTTCCCGTATTTGACGTCCGGGCATGCCTGTATGCTGCAAAACAAAAAATCACAAACATTCGCGAGATGCATAACATATCCTATATAAGAACAATGCAATTAAAATTGCAACAGTTCCTAAAAACCCGAATGGAAACACCAGGCAAACAATTAAAATGTAGCGTGTGTATATATATATATTATATAGTCCATCGGCAGTTTTTCCTACATTTATCAAAATGATGTTTTTATATTTCATTTAAAAGATGTGTCAGCAGCACTTAAATCCACAAGTCTAGGGTGACAAGACTGTGTGGTAGTTATGAACTGCTAGGTTTGTCTGGCACCTGCTTGATGCTCAAGTGGCTACAGTGACATCCACTCGAGATGATTTAAGGTGCATCTGCTATTGAGCAGCTACGGCAGCAATATCACATGATAACACCAAGTAACAAAGGATTGGACAAGCTTCATAAATGAATGACCATATTATGACACTAGCGATCAGGCCAAAACAAAATATAGGTGTGGTTACGGTTTCCCGACCGACCCTATATATTCCCAGCGACCCTAAACATTTTAATGTCAATTTTCTTTAGTCAAACATGTTTTGTTTTTTTATTTAAAAACAAATATGAATTGGACAGTTCCTGCTTCAAAAGGCACAACGCACATCCTTCGGACATGGTTCGTAAATAAAATATTTCAAGAAAATAAAATGTTTTCCCTACCTACCTACCCTATTTTTTTCCAGCATGTAACAGTAACAACACATATATTTTGTTTTGGCCTCATAGAAAAAGCCATTCCAGTACAAAAATAAGCAGTAGGGGCACTAACCTACACATCTACACAACGTAATTAATGCAAGCGAGAAACCTGTGAAAATGAGACAGCCTGACACAAACACAGTTACAGTATAGGTGGCACCTATGATATGTAGGCTCGTGGATGCATAGAGGTGATATTACATACCTGACGATATCTCCTAGTCTGACTCGTAGGTTGTTGCGCACAATCCTGTTCATGCGAACCTTGTCGTCACCGACTGTGTCGTCACTCAGAACGATGCAGACAGTTTCCTTCCTCTTTTTCCCCTTCAGGAGGACTGTGTCACCACGAAACAACTCAAGCTCATCCATCTTTGTCTAAAACCAATGGACCGAGAAGCCATTCAAGTTTATCACAGAACAAAAGATGCAAAAAACGCAAATTCATTGAATATGCATGGCTAACTGTACTGTACACTGTGCTACAAACACGAAATGCATGTAGCACAATTCCATTTAAGATATAACCTGTTAAAGATGAACTTCTTCATAGAGTCCCAGGAAAAAATGCATCATCATCATGCAAAAATGGTAGCCACGTTCATAATGCCCGAGGCATCCTGGTACTTTTCACAACATACACATTATTTGGGCACTATAGAGTATAGTCTATATTACAATATATTGTATGTAATAACTAATATACAGTTTTATCACACTCTGTCTTAGACAATTGAGATGGCTAATCTCACAGTGTTGTTTGCATTCTTATTAGTCATATAATGCTAGAACAATATTATACCTGTGACAAAGCAACTACACTGTTATCATCATTCACTGCGTCTTCCACAATAAGTCTATTTGGCTTTGCCTTTGTTCGTAGGATGGCAGTGGCCAGATCATCCTCACTGAAAAACAGTAAAGTCACGTAAGTTAATCTAGAAAACTGTGGAACTGGAACCAAATGTATATTATATGCGCAAAAATCTTATGTGAATTGATAAGAACAAAGCAAAATAACGGGATTCGGCGAATAATTACTAAAATGGAAACGCCGACGATGAATTATTTCTCTCGCCTGTCTGTGCAAATTGCAATGTCATGCATACCGCTAGACTTTACAATGGAATAAAGCAAGAAACAAGCCATAACTGCAATATCTGGTTATCAAATAGTATTAACTACAGTCTTAAATTGTTTACACTCACTTGTCAGCCCCTGACATCGTTTGTTACGTTCTTATTTAGCCGAATAACACAGTTATAATCAAGACAAAATTTTTCGACGTTCTCTATCGCCTGCTCTGTTGTTTAAATGGCTGTATTTGCGTGCCACGTGTGCTGACGTCACGATGATCACATGATCGGCTCAAAATCAATGACATCATCATTTTGTCCAAAATGGCAGGCATGAAAGGTAAACTGCAGCACCTGAGCCGCTGTTGTCAGTCAATCATTGTTAGTCTGAAATACGGGCGTTTTCTTATTTCAAATCACTATATACTTATTAGTAACATTCATTTTCTATATTTTTCAAGTGTTTATTCATGTAGACTTACATCGACTAACTGTCACCTGCTACCTATCTTCCTACTTTAGAGTTTAGTCTTTAGAATGAAAAATCCACCGCGCCCACTCGCCGACTCGATGCCAGTGCCACTGGCACTGTTAGTGTTAGTGTTATTGGCGGTATTGCTAGTGTTATGATCTGCCAGACTGTTCTGTTGCACCGACCACTAACCGATAATAGTTGATAATATTCAATAGTTACTTTTAGGAACTAGTTTTACAATAGTATTTAAATTGTTCTCAGTCAGTCGGTGTAAGAAAGCATCTATGATCTCGGTTCTTTTGGCTTTACCTTGCTTTAGTATATGTTAAGCTTGGGACACACTAGGTGATTTTTCAGGCGAGTGAGTCGGGCGACTGAGTGGACACACTAGGCAATTTTCAGAGCGATTCATCGGCGATTTTTCTCCTGCTGCAACACTAAAACACTTGCGCCACCTAGATTGATAGTCACATGATTGAAAATGGCACCGTTTGATTGGCTGATGAATTATACATTCGGCCGACTCATTCGCCGACCCGGACACGATTGTAGTCGCCCGATTTTATCAAATGTTCGATTCGGGCAACTCAGTCACCCGACTCAATCGCCGGTGAAAATCGCCTAGTGTGTCCAGGGCTTTACGGCATAACCTTAGCTTCGCCGATTCTAAAACTCGGTCTCTGGCCTTTAAAACTATGGTTCTCCTCATATTAGAATATGCTTTGCCAGGCTAGTGCCCCTACACGCTTCAGAACTGCTCAAAATTGGATGCCATTCAGCGTAAAGCTGCGAAATGGGCTTCCAAAAACTATCATGATAGTGCTGATGTTGTTTTGACTCAACTTGATTGGCTTCCTCTTCGTGTCTGCTTTCTCCATGCTAAACATAACTTTCCATAAAATTCATCATGGCCAGGTGAAGATTGGCATTCCGTCTGGCTTGATGAAAGCTGTTCGTAGCAATCGATCATCCGAGTGTGATCATTGCTTTTGACATGTGCCATCTTCTAAGGATCCCTCTTTGTTTCTGTCATTCCGTATTAGATTTCTTTCCCTTCGTCTTTAGTAAATTTCAAATTTGCGGCTTTTTCTACTGCGATCCGCAGTGTTGATCTGTCTATTTGATCAACTTGTCTCCATCTACGATATAGTCCCTTGGACTTTGAAGACTATTACTTACGAGGTTACGGGGTAATGCTCAATCTCTACCTCTGATTCTGAGGTTTATGGTGGTGCAGTTGTTAAGCATAGCCACCGTTCAGTTCAAAGGCTGTGACTGTAAGTGAGACTTCAAACCCTGGCCAGGCAGTGATTTTCTCAGGGTGTAAAAATCTAGTTGTCAACATAGGGGATTGTATTTGGACTGTAGGGGGGGGGGTTACTTGTCACCCCTTGTGGCAAGTAATGACCATGTGAAATAGGGAGCCTGTCTCCAGTAATACCGTAGAAAAACACTGATATGAAACACTAGAAGTGTTAAGTGCATCTAAGAGGGCAGTAACAACCCTCAATGTCAGCAGGTTGAGCAGAGAGACTGGATTGGCATAATATTATCATATATATTAGCACAATTTATTCCATGTTACCATCATGATCTCA